AAAAGCTTCATTTTAAAATTTGCCCTGAAAAATAATGTTTAAGTACTCATGAAGGATTCTGAATTGCTATGTGGACTTTATCCACAAGTACCCATCTGTGTGGATGAAGAAAAGCTGGTGTCCCCAACCTTCCCTGCTTCATCTCTTAGGTACCAAGAAAGGATGTGTTTAGAAAGGTGATAATTTTCAGACCTCAATTAGGATTCATCCATCTTATTCTTATCATCCTCAAATAACAGATATTCACTCACCCACACAGCCCTGATTAAAGTCACATGATGCTAGACCTTGTTGCTCTCTAGTTTAGATTCATAAGCGGGCCGGAAACGTTTTTTGATGAGGTTTTCAGAAACATTGTTAAATGACCTAATATCCAGTAAGGGTGACTAAGAAAACCTGTCCTAAGACATAGAATGGCCTCACTGGGAATAAGAGAATAGGAGTTGATATGGGTCTTTGCAGATCTCTCACAAAAAATGTCAAACAGTTGACAAGAAATTTGTGAACATATTTGTATATATCTGTACTTTTCATCTCCAGAACAAGTTGGCAACTTAATGGAAAATAACATAATGGCCTTTTGAAACTAAGAGGCCATTCAGATGTTAGGGACAGGAGGCAATTGTGGATCTGACCCAATTGATCTTCATAGCCTTTTATAGAAGAAAACTACAACCTGAGAAAAGTATCTTGATGTCATTATGGATGGAACATAAAGGTTAGGATCTGAGTGATGATAAACTATGCCTGGGCAAGGGCAAAAGAAATACAGGTGGAGGTTTCTAACGATCCTGGTGTGCAAACCAGGTGTTCACCCAGGGTATGGGACAAAAGAATGATTATGGTGTCATAGATATGGAACTGGAAGGGATCTTTGAGGCCATCTAATTCAACCCCTTTATTTTGTAGAGGGTAAATATCTTTCCCAATATCAAACAGGGACAAAGTAGAAGAGCTGGGTTTGAACAACCAGTTCCTTTGACTTCACATCCACCACATTTTCCATGGCGTTGTATTGCATTGTGTTGTGATTCAGTGCTTCCCAACATCAAGAGAATTCAAAGCAAAATAAAAGGCTATTGTTATACAAAATCATGGTATCTCCCCAGCTTGTCTAGTGAATGTCTTTCTGTGGCTATACCTGAACAAAAGCACAGTGGAGTAGGAGAAGAGGGGAAACAAATTATTTTTAGTATGTACAGCCTTTGGTCTCCATCAGCTGGGTGTTACGGTATATGAGTTTTTTCAAAATTACTAATGTGATCACAGCTCTGGATAGTGGTAGAAGGGACATTATAGATAATATAATTCCATCATTTTATAGATTAGGAATCTAGAAACTTTCCAAAATGACTGTTAAACCCTGCACAGTCTTGGAGCCAATGATCAAATACGCTGGATAAAAATGAGACTATGCTCAGCTTGTTTTTTTATCATACAAAAGAGAGGTACTTGTTTGGGGACAGTCGTCATATACTCCCTTTAGGACCCACAACATTAACATATGTGAACATAGTGGTAATGATATTGGAAATCAGAGGATTTATTTTTGAAGCGAGTTTGCAATTCCCACAAAATAGCCTGAGTAGGGTGACTAAGAAAACCTGTCCTAAGACATAGAATGGCCTCACTGGGAATAAAGAGAATAGGAGTTGATGTGGGTCTTTGCAGATCTCTCACAAAGCCCAAAAGGGATTATTCAATTGCTAGTGTCACTTGAAAAACTGTGTAAGAAATGAGAAAGACTCAGAGAAGTCACCCCAAAGAATCCATCTTTTTCAGAACTCTAACCTTTCCCCCCCTCACATATATAAGGACTGACGAAGGTCTCCTGAGTCCTTGTCTAGTTATCCAAAAAGAACCAGCTGGCAGGATTTCTAATGGGAAGTGAATCACTTAGGCCCCCCTTTACAGTGTTATGAGTCACAAATGTCTCATAATGCCTTGGTTTTTAGCAAACAGTTGACAAGAAATTTGTGAATATATGTATATATATCTGCACTTTTCATCTCCAGAACAAGTTGGCAACTTAATGGAAAATAACACAATAGTCACACAACTGAGAAATTTACTTTTTGATCTGTGACAATAAAGGAACTAGCCTGCCTTAAATATGTCACTTCATTCCCTCATCTCATCCCTACCTCCACTAAAACGATCATAGTTGAAAGTTTGATCAGAGAGGAGAAAATGAGGTTGACCATGTGGGGTCTCCTGAAATCTTTAGTTCTGCATCTGTTATGTGAAATTGTGTATTGGAATAAACAGATGGCTTTGCTTTAAACAATTGTACCACACACACACACACACACACACACACGCACACACGCACACACGTAAATGTAATGCCAATGTGAAAGCCTTTACACTACATTCCCTTGAGATTTCCTTTTTAAAAAGATGTAAAAGATAAAGAATAGTTTTAAATGACAGAATTGCCGTTTTTGGAAAGATTAAAAGGAATAATACTGTTTTCTTTTGGCACATAAAATACTGAAAAGAAATGAGAGGAGTCTGTTGAATAATGCTCCAGGTATTTAGTCTTTTTCTTCATTACAAAGAACTAGATGAAATTAAAATGCAAAAATATTCAGGATGATTAGTAGAAATAGTTTGGGGTTTGTGCAATAAATAACATAGAACTTATTCCAATATGTGCTGCTAAAGTTAAAAAGAAATTGGGAATAATAATAGCAGTTACCTCTAGAAGTTGTTTTGAGGATAAAGTGAGGGTGCGCTTGTAAAGCTCTTTGCAAACCTCAAAGCTCTTGTTATTCAGGGCACCAGATACCTCCTGTGGCTAGTGCAAATCGATCCTCCTAAGTCTCTTATTTAATAACGTCTCATAGTAACACTGAGTTTCGAAGTGACAGTGGCATGAGATATTCAGGGAGAGTGAGATTTCACCTCTCAGTGGGGAGAAAAATATGTTGTTTCCTACATGAAATTCTTTAATGCCTTTCTGCAGCAGTTTTAATGTGATAGGATGCATTGTGTCTGATTACATCATTACAATTTTATCTCCTTTTATAGAAGGCTTTGCAAAGAGTACAACAAGGCTAGAATTCATCTTCTTTCAGGGCCTAGCCTAAGCAACTAAAGTTTATACTAAAAATGTTTTAAAATAAAGTTTATGCTAGTCTTACTTCTTTATATGAAGAAAGATGGAAGACCAATTAATGGTTTATAGATGTAGAATACCAAAACTCGGAGAGGAATACTACATATGGTATACTTTCAGGTAGCAATGTTTGGCTGAGCCTAAAAGATACATTTTCGTAAAGGATTATGTGTCTGCAGTAGGCTCTTAATTAACCATATAATCCTGCACAGTAATTATATTTTATGAGCCTGGCTATTCAAATAAGGTTGATATTTAACAAACTAGAGAATATCTGTGCAGAACTGCCCCGGGCATGAATTTCTTGTTAAAATGAAATGTATTTTTCAGAACTTAATAACAATTCAGCTTTCACAGCATACAGCTGAATTTATGTGATTACTGACTTTACTCACCTCTAGCTTCTGGGTAAATCGACTTCAAATTTGCTGTTGCTAATTGTGTGAAGGAGACTAGGGGGGCCTTAAATCTGGCAAGCAGATCCCTATGACTTTCAGATCTGCTCAGCAATACATCACTCATTAAAATCTATAAATGAAATCACCATTAGAATGTGAACTCCTGAGGTCAGAGACTATGTCTCCCTTTCTTTGTATCCTCAACACTTAGCATATGCCTGGCATATAGTAAGCATGGTAATAGCAATTTATTAAGCTTGTAGATTTGAAAAAAAGTGGATATCTAGAGCGAATAGCAAAAAAGGTGAGCGCCTATTCTTTTCAAGTATTATTTGAGCATGTACATGTTTTCATGATAGATCCCAAGTTCAACTGTACTTCTGTTATTGTGCTATACAGTATGTACATGTCATCTTCTTGCCTCCATTTTCCTATGTGCAAGGTGAGTAATGATACAGAAGATACACCTACCATTGTGAGAATTGGTGAATAATTGTAAAATACATTGTTTCCTCAAAAATAAGGCAAAGGAAAATGGAAGTTTCTGGAAAGATAAGAGGAACTCAGGAATAAGCCTTGGAGAGGGAATTGTGGAATATTAAAGTAGAAAGATGCAAACTGATAGGAAGTGCTCTCAGGAATTTTAGAGATCAGTTTAATTAGATAGATCTTGGTTTGAGAAATGACACTAGTTTTAATGAAGGCAGTTTTAGATGGTTGTATAAATCTAAGTTAATTTTTCGTCCTATTGGTGTCCTTTCAACCTAAAAACCAGAAATCAGGGTAGATTGCTTCTGCAGGCTGTCAGGTTCCCCCATGCACACACACTTGCACCCCATCCCATATGTGCCGGATTTACTTATAACAAGTCAGATATACAAGGAGAGCATTTTCCTCAACCCTGTGAGAAATGGTAATATTTTTGGGGTAGGAATTATTCTAGTTGAGATATTGTCAATAGAAATTAACTAATGAATATGCCAAATGCAAATACTTAGATTGATACAAATTCAAGGTGAAATGATTTTGTAACTTTTTTAGATTTATTCAAATTATCCTCTTAGAAACTATAAAAACTGTATTGACTTCAAAAAATCACAAAAATTAGTTTAGGGAAAGTTCAATAGGAAAATATCAATCTATACTTATTTATCCTGGATATTCTATAGAACTGAAGATAATACGTAAGTGCTGTGGAGACAGAAAATAAGTTAATGGCATTGTCTAGCTAATATGGGGGTTATTTTATTTTTCAGTTTGTGGTAATTGAGTCAAATGGTTAGCAAATGGGGGAACTGTCAATGCTACTTCTCTGAAGCACCCAGCTTTCTCCCTAGAAAAATTCAGGAAACCCGATTCTATTAAAAGTGATTCATGTAGCAAGCAAGATTCTGATTATGGGAATTGTGTTCCTGGTTGAGATTTTTTCCCCCCAAACTTTGCATTAGTGACAGTTGTCTTAAACATTGTTGTCATTTCAGAATATCTAACAGTGTTCTCTCAGATGATTGCATTCCATGACCCAGAGCTGAATAACCATCTCAACGAGATCGGCTTTATTCCAGACGTAAGTATTAGGAAATTTTCTAAATGGTGGTTAATGGAGCTTGGGAAGGAAAAGCAGAGGAGGAGGAAGAGAACCAGTGGAGTGTTTTTAAAAATCCTGTTGGCGCAGTGAGAGGTTCACATCTGAACAAGTTTATTGTTAATAATGAAAGCCCTTTGTAAGGGAGTTCATGGGAGGAGATTACTTCTCATTATTATCATCATCATTATTATAAATTCTGACATGAAAAGGCCTTCTGTTTTTCTTGGCATGACTTCTCCTTATGAAAAGTCTTACAACAAGTCAATTAAAGTATTTGTAGAGCAGTAAGATATGTTTTGTAAAATCTGTGGTTGGATCTTGGGCCATGAGGAGGCATTTTTAGAATTGCAGAATGTCAGAACTAGGCAGGGCCTATTTAGAAGCTGTCCAGTCTCCCCCACTCATTTTACTAATGAAAAAACTACAGCCCTCATGGCAAAGTGTTCAAGATTGATCACCTAATTCTTGGCACATCTAGGATGATTAGGTCTTTTGCCACTTTCCAGATCTTTCCAAAACACCATTAATTCAAGTATGTTTATAATACATAAACATGCACAAGAAAATAAAGGGAGGAAACCATGACTAACTGCTGTATATAGCCAGCTAAACAATAACTACATACATCCCTCAGAGCACTCATGAAATTATAGATCTAGAACTGGAAAAAGCCTCAGATTCCTTCTACCCTAAATCCTCATTTTCCAGATGAGAGACTTAGGCCCAGTTAGTTCAGGTAGCAGAGGCAAGATACAAACTCAGGTCCTCTGACTCCGAATCCAGCATTTTTTCCACTATGTGGTGCTACCTGTCATTATCAGATTACTTATATGAAGGTACTTGATACATCTAAGATATTATGTTTACCTATCACAAACCATTTAACATATTTATTCACTTTAGAATAGGTTGACCCAACACTTTAAAACTGCCTAGTATAAAGATATTATGCATATTTATATTAGAATAGTATTTATATTAGAAAATTTCTAGAAAATGTGCTCTTCGGAAGGCTGGTGGACCCTTTCTCAGAATGTTTATAAATACATAAAATAAAATATACAAGATTATAAAAGAAACAAATTATATTGAAATGTGGTTATTAAAATATTACAGATCCAAGGTTAAATCCCCTACTATGTAGCTTCTTTCAGTACATTATACCCCCCCCAAAAAAGTCCCTTTTGTTGCTTTTGATATTTCCTTTGCTTTTTCACAAAAATGGAAATGTTGAAGGTCTTAGAAAAAGAACTATAAAAGTCTGAAACTATTGTTTATCATGTTTTCTCTGCACATGGATTCTAATCAGTCAGTCAAAAAAGTATTAAGATAGATATAATAGAAGCTTACTCCTCTAAGTGCCAAATCTCTTTGTCTTTTAGCATTTTTTGATGGAAATCTTTCCATGCCTCAGACAACCTAACAGTATAGTTCATAGAGTAGGTTTTAAGAAAATATTTGTTGATTGATACTAGATTAGAGTCTTCTTTCAGGGAAAGAATGAACAGTTCTTTTGAAATTATTGCTTCAGATGTTTTATAGAGACAATAAATTCCCTATAATATTGGGGATGGGAGGACTAGAGGGAGATTCTACTGAATGACCGTCATTACAAACATCAGTTATTATACTGTACATTTTTCAGGATTATAGAAGTATAAAAAGACTTTTTTCCCTTATATTAAATGGTCCCACATTCCTGTGTGATTTTCATCATTCTGTCTGCTTCTTAATACTCTCATGCTTACCCAGCCTTAATCACTGAATGAGCTTTGCCTCAGTCAAACTGAGACCTGGGAACGAGCTTAGCTTAAAAAGGCCAAGGTCTCCCGCTGCATCCAGGGCCATCTCCAGTCGTCCTGATTTATATCTTGCCACTGGACCCAGATGGCTCTGGAGGAGATAGTGAGGCTGATGAATTTGCATAGCCCTCCCGCACTTAAATCCAGTTCACTTCACCTCCCTGATGCCATGGTCCTCTTTGAAAACAAAGGACAAACAACAACAACAATATTATCTTCATCCTACCATCGTGTCACCTTCCGTTTCTGTCTCCGTCTTTGCTTTTTGTAATTTACTCTATTGTTGTAGTAGTAATCTGTTTATTTAGTATTTTTTTATTTACAAAACACAGTCACAACCATTCTGTAAGGTGGAGTACAAATATTATTGTCACCATCTTGTAACTGGAGAAACTGACGCACAGACAGGTGAGAATAGTGACTTGTCCAAGACTGTACAACTATTGTCAGAGCTGTGACTTAAACCCACAGAATCAGACTTGTTAGAATTTAAAGATCCTTATCTAATTCAAACCCCTCATTTTATTTTTAATTGACGAATATGTTTTGTAACATCTTATAGCTTGATTTACATCATCCAAATTGAACACTCAGTATGATAATTAAGCAAAACTGACCCACAAAGGAAAGAGGTAGATGATTTCTGCAACATTCCACTTTCATTTGTAGTGCACCAACTTTCTACTGAGGGCAATGAAAGAGTTCAGCCACTGTTTTCCAGAACCAGTTGCTTGTTAAAATTAATCTGAATGCAGGTCCTTTTTGAGTTTTGAAAAATATATCATTGTAGTTATTGTGCAGATTGTTCACTTTGATATGCTCCTTGGCAACTCATAAAAATCTTTCCATGTTTTTCTGAATTCCTTATATTAAATATTCTTTTTTTTTAAGGCACAATAAAATTCTTTTACATTTATAGGCTGCAGTTTCTACAGTTCTCCAAACATTGGGTACTCATTTTGTTTCCCTGTTTTGTTTTGTTTTGCTATAACAAAGACTGGTGCTATGAATGTTTTGGTATATATGGGACCATTAGTTCTCTGTCATTGACCTCTTTGGGGTATACGCCCACTAAAAGATTCTCTGAGTCAAACAGCATGAAGTTTACAATTTTTTACAAATAAAGTTTACAAAGTTTACAAATCCTTTTATTAAGGGGATTTTTTCTGTGGTGTTTGGATTCAGTCAGAGAGCTGCACTTGAGGACCTAGAGGGCCACATGTGGCCTCAAGGCCACAGGTTCCCCACCCCTGGCACTGTAAACAGTTTAGTAGCTTTTCAGGAATAATTCTGAAGTCTTTTCCAAAATGGTTTTACCAGTTCATAACTACATCATCAACATTTTGGTGTCCTGTCCTTCCTGGAGCCTTTCCAAAATTTTTCCCATGTTTGATCACTTACCATGTTGAAGGTAATGAGGTGAAGCCTCAGAGTTGTTTCAAGCCATATTTTACTTTTTATGAGTGATTTGGAACATTTTTTATATGATTGCTAGCCATTTGCATTTCTTCTGAAAAGTTGTAATAATTTTTTTTGACCACTTATTTACTGGGGAATGGTTGCTAGTCTTAGGTATGTAGGTCAGTTCTCTCCCTGAGTTAGATATCACATTTTTATAAGATATTTGATGCAAAGATACTTTTCCACCCCAATCGATAACATTCCTTTTCCCTTTGGAGGGAAGTGTAGAGTAGTGGATAGAAAGTTGGACTTGGATTCAAGAAGACCTAGCTCTACATCTTTCCTGAGAAGGTTACTAGCTATGTGACCATGAACAAATCACATAACCTCTCTGTGCTTCAGTTTCCTCATCTGTAAAATGAGAGCGATTGATGGTCTCCAATGTCTCTTCTAGCTCTGAATCTAGTCTCCAATCATTCCTTGTCTAGAAGTGCGCTGATTTTGTTCATGCAAACACTTTTTATGTATTTCATACAGTTAAAAGTGTTTATTTTTTTTTCCTTTTCCTTTTATGATTAATTCTGTCCCTTACTTGGTTAAGAATTCTCTGCCTTGCCGCAGATCTGAAAGTTACTTATTTCCATAATCCTTTTGCAAATTTCAGTGTTAAAGAGCTGCTTAGAGCCCTGAGAAATTAAGTGACTTGCCCAGGGTTATGTATGTGCATGTATATGAGTATGCATATGTATAATTATAAATGCATACTAAGGTCATGTATACTTCATGTGGCAAATGCTGTTCTAATGAATTCTGGGTCACATGTCCAGCCAGAGCGGAGACTAGGTACTCTGCAATTCTCATGACCTCTCAGGTCTCTCTTCGATTAGAATTATTCCTAATGCATAAAACAGCTTCAGCTGTTTCCAGTCTAAGACACTAAGAACCATGTCAAGGTAACAACCCAACGTACTAACAGCTGACCAGGTTAATCCCCAATGTCCTCATTCAGCAAGTCCTCCCCCACCAGGCACCAGACTCTGGCAGGGTTGGACAGCCTGACCCACTGGTATTCAACCTCCCCTTACCTACCATATATCAAGGAAACCAAAAGGCAGAAAGCCCTTCTATAGATGTACTTTGCTATATTTTAGCCAACACTTAATAATTTTAATATGTATTTTTTATAAATCTATGATCTAAACTTACTTTCTACAATCTATATAATCTGAGATCTAGTGTATCTACGTTCTCTTCATTCCCATTGTTTACTCTATTTTTCCTTTATATTCTAAACCAGGGGTGGGGAACCTGCAGCCTCGAGGCCACGTTTGGCCCTCTAGGTCCTCAAGTGTGGCCCTTTGACTGAATCCAGACTGTGGAGTTTGATTTCTTTCAGTCAGAGGGCCATACTTGAGGACCTAGAGGGCCACATGTGGCCTCGAGGCTACAGGTTCCCCACCCCTGTATCTAAACCTTCTCTTCTTACACTATTAGTTCTATATAAAGTAAATCCTTGGTAATTTGGGTAGATCACTAAACTTGTAAATTATTTTATGTATTATTGTCATCTTAGTGCAACCTAAAAATGAATATTAAGTGTCTCTATTCAATTAATTGTCTTCCTTTTTCTATAAAGAGTGCTTTGTAGTTGTTTATATGTCTCCTTTGTATGCCATGGCAGATTAAAAACCAAATATTTTATCCATCTTATAATTTTTAATGGAATTTCTTTGTCTCTTTCTTCTGGGTTTGGTTAGTTAATGTACGCAGAGTCCG